TTTCAAACTATGAAACTACTGACTTTCATATCTCTACACTGACATTTTTTTTATCCACTACGAGGAAGCTCTTGGCCTGTATCTCACCTGATGGTAAGTGATGATCAGACCGAAGGTGGAAGCGAGCTTCACCACGGAATCCTCAATCACGGAAGAACTGGCCTATGAACTACCTTACCTCTAACTGCTGGAACACAACAATGCTGTTAACATTGTTGTTATGGCGACAGACTTAGGTAATATGGTGGTAGCTAGCCAGGCGGACTTAGAACAAGCCCTACCACCAACCAAACCGAACAGAAAAATCTGTCCCCACTGGGAATTGAATCCGGGACCTCGGCGTCTGTAGCAGGTGGTCTTACCACTAAACCACAGAGGCGGTTAATTTTAGAGTAATTGTTACCAAAAATTTGGTTAATTATAGAGTAATTGTCACCATTAGTTAATATTTTAGCCAAGAGTTTAGGCAACCCTGTATTCGAGAACAGATGAGTGAAGCCGCGCCTCGAGTGTACTCGACATAGGTATTAATGAAACCGGTTATGAGCACACTTGTATGCATAATTAACAACTCTATTTTCTACGTAAAACTCTGTAAATATAAGTTACTGAGTTTTCGTGTCTTGCCTCAAACTTGTAAGTTTAAGTTGTGAAGTGAGGTAACTCGCTTGAGTACATCTTTGTAAGATAATGAGCCTTCGAAATACTTGCTAAGGTTATTATGTACGTTACTAAAATACATAATGAGTTTCTTTATATTTTCGAAAATTGTCATGGAAAGATTTTACTAAGGCTTGTTATTTCGTTTTAGGCATTAGCAAAGATATTATTTACTTTAAGGCTATTACTAAACATTCGTTCGTTTCGTCATGACATCCAATGCCTGGACAAAGACCTACCAATGATTTCCTCGATCAGTCCTGCACTGCCCGCATCCAGGCACTTAATAATAATAAATAAATAAATAAATATCCTTGGACATTTTACACTGCGCCTCTAGTCCCAAACTAAGCAAAGCTTGTACTATGGGTACTAGACGATGGGATAAACATACTTAAATACTTTTTTTTTGTAAATACATACATATTATACATAGAAAACACCCAGACCCGTCACAGAAATTAAAATTCATCATTTCAATTTCTGCCCGGCCGGGAATCGAACCCGGGACCTCTCGGCATAGTAGTCCGTTCTGAACCACTACACCAAACGGCCGACGTTTAGTTACGACTTAGCATATTCAAACATTAAAACGCTACATTTTTTATATTCTTTTTGTATACTGAACCCTTATGGTTACTTTTTTTACGCATAACAAGGCAAGTTTGACCACAATCGCACTGCATTGATGTTAAGTGAGATGCAGTCTAGGGTGGTACATATCTGCCCTGTAAGTGCCTATTCACTTTCGCCTTGAAAAGGGTTGTATAATTTGTGATTTTATAGTGGTTGATGTTTTTTAGTTTTTCATGTTTTTGTAATATTTCTAATTGATACGATAATGTTATTGTTTATGTATTATTTATGACTACGACTATTATACCCACCTTAATTTTTGCCAACGTGATAGTTGTGAATCGAATTCAAAAACATTTTTATTTATTTATACTATACAATGATTAATTATAGATTATGAAAGAGTTTCATTTCATTACGCAATTATCATTATTAATTCACAATCGTCAGAAAATTCCCCAATTTCACCCCAACTCCAAAAAAGGGAGATCAAAAATAACTGTGAAAATCCCAGACTAAACGCTCTTCTGCCTTTAATTCCGACATGTTTTACAATTAACCCGTACCAATAAATTAAAATATGCAAATTCACAAACACACCGCACCTCTATCATAAATAATGAAATTAAGCTGTATTCGGATAATAATTTTAATCAGAATTGGTTCCCGAGATAGGTTTACACTGAATAATATTCGTACTACCAGGCCTGTTCATCTCCGCGAGTTTACATCGAAAACAAAACACGCACGATGGCCCACCTACAGGATACTATTCGACAAGGCCTCACATACGAGCGAACATTGACTCACGCACGCGTATTCTTGTGTATGATGGACAGGCTAAATTACACCATATTGTTAATGACATTGAGCATATTTTTTTTAAATACGTAAGTAAAACTTCTGTTCGTAGTACTTATGAAATTGCAACTTGATTCTGTAATTAGTTTCATGCCGTTCCTGGCACTAACTAGATTTTCCCGTGACTTCACCTAGTGAAATACAGTTTATCACAAAATGTCTTTATTCTGATATTATAAATAATAATGACGATAAATATTATATTATAATATAATATCATAGTAAGTTGTCCTCCAAGTAAATAAAATTAAAATAAAACTTTGAAATTTCATCAAAATCCGTTTTGCATACATCCTCACTAACTTTCAGTAGGAAGTATTAGGGTTAGTTTATGGATGAACATAACCAAACAAACTAACTACAACTAACCACTATTTTGTAAGCAGTTAAATCATTGATTTAAGTTACAGCAGTTTTCACAAACTAAGCTAAAAAACTGCAACATTCCCATTTCAGCGCCCTCAAAAATTACAATCCAAGTCGCATTTCAAACGAATGCTACCCAGTGGAACACGGTAAGTTTAAATTAAGAAATGCTAGTTTAAACTTTTCAAAGTAAGATTAAAAATGTACCTTCAAGTTGTCGTCGACCGGTATGTGGGGCGTTCAGTTCAATAGACTATTCTAGGTCACTCCGACGCTTTAGGGCCCTCACCCACGGCGACTTTTTATAGTGATGCTGTCGCGCGTTTCGTAAACTAGCGACAGCATCGCTACTAACGCGCGTTAGTCGCATTTGCAACGCACTACAGAAGCGATGCCAACGCGCTACTAACGCGCTACAGCAGCGCGACTGTATCGATGCAAACGCGCGACCGTGTCGGACGACTTCGGGGAGAGAACAGGGGGTTACGGGGCGACAGAAGCGCGACAGTATTAGAAATAGAAACACTAATTATAATAAATATTTATTGCGTTTGCTACACAGCTAGCGACCGCATTGCGACTGTATCGATGCGAACGCGCGACAGAATCGCTACTGCATCGCTGCAAAAAGTCGCCGTAGGCGAGGGCCCTTAGTTACAAGCACGTCAAGATTTACACTGCGGTATCTTGTGCTGTTGTTATAGGGGCTATTTTACGACGGAAATTTACAGTCTGAGGTGTTGATAAAAGGTTATCTGTAGTGGCTATTTTTTGCTATCTAAAGTTACGTGTTGCGGAAGAAATGGCCAAGTGCGAGTTACACTACCGAGCCTGTGCTCAAGGGTTTTAATCAGATGATTTCTTACAAATGATGCAAATTGGTATTGATAAAAGAAGAAAGATTGGTAAAAAGAAACTCTTTAAAGAACACTGAAACCTCAGTCAGAATAAAAATAAATGAGCTAGGAATTTGGTGCAAGAATTAGTGAAAAACAAAAGAACGGGTGAGATAAATCAAAGTTTTTTGTTTTACAAGATAATAAACTTAAAAAATTCTCTCACTCACTCATTTGAAAAAGCTTGAAATAAATCCCATAAAATCCCACTTTAATGTTTACTAAAAACAATTAATCAAATCAGTTTATATCTTAGTTAGTTTATTTTCATTACAGAACTTTCTTTTACATNCTTTTGTATGAAAAATCTAAACCGCTTAAGTAGACCTGAAGTGATGCAGTGACCGCGCGCTCTCCGCCCTCTATCTCGAAAACGGTTCGCCGTATAAAAAAAGTTTTTAAACAAAATTTGTAGAGAATTTAGTATTCTACAATATTGGTAATAAATACAAATAGCAAAAAACCCACAGGAAATGAGATATTTCTAAAAAAAGCGCAAAAAACCGATTTTTGTGACCGTTGACCTTGAAATTTAATAGTTGCTTACACCCTACCATATGTAGGTTTTGAGACAACTTTTAGGGTGTCAATCAATATACACGTATTTACAGACTTACAGCTGGGTATCTCGAATTCCGAGGTGAACTTACTATAATGACTGGACTAGTAGGTACTAGCTAGTTGAAACACAATGATTCAATCAATTAGTACCATTATTATTATACCTACATATTTCAATTGGTGCCATAACTAGGAAAAACGTCATATTACGTCCCCATAATAACTGATTGCTGATTACAAGAAGGTTTTTTGAATAATTTGGTAACTTCGGTCCCCTGAGGAATGTTGTTTGCATTTGAGCATTAGGTACAATCAATCCTTTTTGCTTGATCAAGTATAAATATAGCATCCTGTAATAAGATGTCAGTTTAGCTTATAGTGCCATCATCTTTACTGTGCTTTTCGTGACCTGTTTTCTTCTAAAAGCGAAAGGTCACTGATTGACTGACTCACTCATCACGAAATCTCAGCAACAGCATGTGCTAGAAGTCTCAAATTTTGCATGGGGGTTCCTTTTAGAACGTCGGTGCTCACTAAGAACGTATTTTACGAAACTCCACCCCTAAGGGGGTAAAACGGGATCCACGCGTCGGCGGCCGCTAATGTATTGTTATAATACACTAGCGAAGTGTATTATAATACACTACAGTACTTTATAATTAGGTACTACAGTAGTAGCACTTCTTTACTCATGTGGTAGTAGTAGGTGCTAGTGTAGGTATTATAATAAATAAATATATATAAGTATGTTGATTGAATTCTTTAAGCATTCCAAGCAGTGTCACTAGGTAGGTACTTCTCACTGGTAGAGTTTTAATGGCGGACAGGCTTTAGATACTGCTTGGTTATTATGCAGGAGTTGCAGTGCTGGTGTGATTAAGTAGTCCCGTATTTTTTTACTTTTTATTTATTTTCTTCAAAGTTTCCACCGATAAGTTACTTACTGTGACGATGTTTGTTCGGTGCTTCTTTTCAGTTCCTTCCAAATCTTCCAATAAGCACTATACCTAAGCTAATCTATGCAAAGCTTCTTGGGTAGGATTAAAATGCATAATCAACTTCTTTAGAACAGGGAGGGAAAAATGAAATAATAAAATTATTTGGTTATCTAGGTTTCCTTTACTCGCATAGATCTAACGCCCGTATTCACAAACATTACTATGAGGTCTCATAGTGCGCGTAGACGCACAGGGTCACACATGAACCAATCACAAAGCTCTATTAGACGCTGTGCGTTCGATTGGCTGCTTCACTTTAAGCAAGCATCGTTTGTGAATACCGGCGTAAAAATGTTAGTTACAAAGATTTTTAATGGTTTTGTTTGAAAAATAGATAAATCTCAATAAGTAAAATCTTAACTTGTTTGCTTGCAATACAATAAAATACTTAGTAGGTAACTACTACTTGCTATTTGGAAGTGGAATGCCCAAGTCCCTAGCAGTTAGCAAAATCGGGTTCTTGTAATCGGTAAGTATGTTGTTGATTCTCTGTAAACAAAAAGGTTGTGATGAGCATCAAAGTTCATCAAATGCTGTGATGCGATCTACCGGCATGCATTAGGGTAATAATGTAAATATGCTTTTGAAAATTATTCATAATTACCGATCATTATTAATAATGCCTCATGATTTGGTAAATTGTAAATAATTTTTGTATGTAAAATATTAAAAGGGCAATTTAGTAGGCTGAGTTGCACCACCCAAATTTGACCGTAACTATGACGATAACCGGTGATTTTTGAGTGGAGTTTGTCTCTGTATAGTAAGATGTTGCAACCCAGCCTAAGGTTACAGTATATCACCGATAAATGTGATTAATTTATTACCTACTTTTATCTTGACTTTCGGTAATTATTAATAACGACCGGTTATTATGAATAATTTTCAATTTATCACTATTACCGTAACATATACACAAACATAACTAAACTCCGAAAGATGTAATACGTACAGATATTAATTGGTCGTAATATTCATCGTCCTCCTCGACGCGGCCACCCTGCCGATGCCTTTTGAAGGCTTGGGTAGCTTCATTTTTAGCCGTTTTGTGATACCCGTCGATCAAGAGCCATGATTCTATTAACCTAGCGGGCAACAGTATCACCGAAAGTGGCTTCAGGAACCCCGGCAAGCCCGCGGTGTTGACGTCCATGACAGCACGGTACTCCGCGCATCCACTGCGTATAGCGGCTTCATTGATTTCCTCGTTCATTTCTTTCATCTGGTCGAAGTGCTCGGTCATCGCCTGAAAGTGGAAGTGGTATTTGAGAAAAACTAATTCCATCATTTGACTTTAGTGGGATGGTCATGAATTAGTGATTAGGAACAAGGAATAAGATGGATAATAGTGGTAGACGATGAGTATTCCGTATTACCTGTTCAATGTTTCCCAAGTATCTATCGTAACCTTCCTCCTTGCCGGCTGTTCTTCGCTCATGGTACATCGCGATAGCCTCCTTCCTCACATTTTTTTCCTTTTTTTTTAACTCTGACGATGGTAAACACTTCATTTGAGTCCCGAATACTTCCAACATGCCATCTTTGTAGCGCCCTATCACTGCGACTACGACTGCTTCGGTGTTTGTATCGTTTATTTGAACAAATTTCTTGAATTGTTCTCTAATATTCTGAAAATTGTTTAAATAAAAATTACATTCAGTACTAATGGATTACTTACATTTTTTAGTCTGCAACTTTTTATGCTATGTTTAGCTCCAAAAGCTGTTAATTAAGTTTCCCTAGAAGTGTTAGGAGAACCAACAAGACAAACACGCATACTTCTATGGAAATAAATCATTTTACCTAATTATGTTACTGAAAATAGGTTCATAGGCAAGGATCAAGAGTGTCGTCTAAATGAAGGCAGTAACGGCATGCATTATGTGGAATTCATGCAACATTTAAGTAATTGTTTTATTTGTTTCTTACCTTCTCCAATCGTTCCACGAAACTATCATCTGACTGCCGTTCAGAACCAGCATTTCGCTTGCCCCAAAAAAAGTTTATGGCGTCTTCACGCGCTGATTCATGGATGCGATTCAGGCGCATGGTGCTCACGCAGCAATGGGCAACAACATGTCTGTCCATCTCGCTAACGTACTTGTCGAAGGCTTCAGTAAGATAACCATTATTGTTCAGTTCATTGAAATGGACCATTTGAGCGTAGCGCGCTTTCAAATCCTGTTAACAAGAATTAGGTAAAATGGTATTGAACTCCTCATCAGCGATTGTGCATAAAGTACATTTCTGTTATCGACTGTCCTAGGTGGTAAAACGTACGTTATCTGGTTGTCTGGTACCGTGTTGAATGCACTTTTTGCAACACCTTACCATAGACCTTACTTCTGGCGCTCTGTTAACTTACACAATCTTACGCGAAGTTAAGAGAACTTCGCGTAAGATTGTAATGATGAACCAAGCCATTGAAAAAAGTGTATAGGTAATTAGAAAATGCAGCTATAATTTTTTCTCTAGGTATGTGTAATGTGTGTATCAAGATAAGTAGATGGTCATAGTGAGATTTGCAATGGGTTCGTGCTTACAGAAATACCTTATGCAGTTGTGTTGTTTCTTTGTCTTTGCCATCGGTGCAGAGTTTGTCCTTGAATTCTTCGACTACGGCGGCCACTGCGGCGCTGTGCGCGGCGTGTAGGGCCCCTAGGCTCACGCACAGGCGCTCTGCTGGAGTTCCCTTCAGAAGCAACTCCGTGTATCTATCCATTGCTTCGTCGAATGCCTTGCTCAACTTCGCCTCGTTAATTGCGGTGAAGTCACGCAAACGACTGTCGAATTCCTGGACAAATAAAACATACGCTCGATATTGGTAGGTAAGTACCTAGTTAGGCATGTTTTTTTACCACTGTGTTCATTTCATTCCTTAAATAAAAACGTTGCTCGACTGACGGCACGCATGCAGATCCAGAGCAGACGCAGGAGATCCAGAAACTTTCAATATGACTTACGCCCATATTCACAAACGATGCTTGCGCGAAGCAGCAAATCTTAGCTACTTTCCTAGTTTCATTCAAGCATGCGATCACTTAGGTACCCACCACCATTAAGTTTGCTATAGCCTGGTCGATGTTCTGGCGACTCCCCATGATCCTCCGGGCGGTGAAGAGTTCGCGGGCCGCGGCGACGGCCTGCGCGTGGCTGCGGTACACGGCCGCCGGCGCCATCGCTCGCGAGCCCGCACACTCCTCCACGCCTCGAGCATACTCCGCGCGCGCCGCCTCCGTAGCGAGCAGGAGACCCGCCTCCGCGGTCGCCTGCAGCATCAATAGGTACAAGGGATTACTTTAAGGCCGAGGAGAAACTAAGCAAATAAAGTCTTGGCCCGCGAGATAACCACGTAATATGGGTCGCGATCGTTGTCCCGATAGTTGCCTCGGCGAACGGTATTAACGAAGAGCTTCGATCAACATCTTAAGAAGTCTCGCTGGATGAATGGCTCTTGAGCCAACCTGAGTCCCGACCCTTTGCTCAAAAACAAAAGGCGGTAATATTACATGCGCGTTACGATGTCGCTTTTAATGTGCCGATATTGACTTGACTACGACGGCTAACTTGCCGTTCAAACAACTGAATTTTAATTTTATTATTTGGTTAATCAAGTTTATTACATTCTGCAATGTCCTAAAATATAAATAAGTACCTACACAAAGCGGTTTTATTCTACGTGTTATCCCAGATTGGATAACACGTAGAATCAAACAACCACACTAACTAAGTGTGGTATCATTGGACAACAAAATTTGGACATAGGTTACTTAGATGATATTGATGACCTGCACTATCGTGGCGGGCGTGGGCATGTCGCCGCCATTGAACACGTCCATGTAGCGCTTGAAGTAGACGACGAACTCCTGCGCAGTCAGCGTCTGGCCGTTGATACGCTTGGGAACCAGGCGGTTGGGCGCCAGCACAAGTGGCACGAACTCCAGTAAACACGCTTTGAACTCAGTTCGGAGATCTAAATAGACAGTTTGCAGTTTGAACATGACTTAATTATGTTGTGCATAAGTGTGCATGTAGTAAAGTAGATCCTACTACCCGTTCGCGCTAAGTTTGCCGGTCCGTGGAATGCGCGTACCTTCCCCTAACTGCGATTAAACGCAATTAGTTAGTGATTAAACGCAATTAATGTGTTTTATTTTACGCAAAAGCACAATATTTATCAGCAGTAATAAATAAAAAATATTTTTAAATATAGTTTGATAAAGTTATAGACGATTGCCTTCGAGTGATGTCCTATAGCCAGCGGCAAACTGAAAGCGAACGGATAGTACTTCTATTTAATGAATTATAAAATTAAGCAATGGTAGGTACCTACCAAATGTCAACACCATTTTATTTCAAAATTTAAAGCAAGTGGGAAAAAGGATATCACTATCACGCACGAGACCATTCATAACCTACCTCTTGTTCTCACTGCTGCAACCCTGTGTTGGCCTTGGCAAGATCTAAAGTTTAATCGTCAATCAAAGTCAATCTAGAGAAGGCCAGGTCAGTATTAGCAGCACAGTCTTTTAAGTAGGTACCTACTTAAGAAAGAAAGAAAGATAAAATATTTATTTGGTACTAAATGATACACGTTGTTGACATTACAAAGCAAAAATAATAAAATTGTTGTACCAAATTGGTCTCTGCTACTTACTTCCTTCATGATTTGTAACGTTTGACTCGAGCTATTGTATGAATAATTTATTAATTTTTGTATTGGTTTCCTATCTATTAAATTATGTGTGGTCAACGTTCATTTTTGCATTCTTAAATAATCTAATGCGATATTAGACCACCGCAGTTGAGCGATTAATTTTGTATTTTGTATGCTAGTAGAAATACTCGTACATATAGCTAGCTACATACATATATAAGTACATAGGTACATTATTGTGTACTTTTTGGTAACTATTTAGGTACGTCTAGATATTGACAAACGAACAAAATGGTGACAAATTGGAATAATGAATTTCCCAATAAAATGTTATAGTAACTAAGGAGATCATCGTAAAAGGAAGTAAGGGTAGCATTGAGAGTAAATTAACCTAGTGAGGCTGTGAGGCCCCCGCGAAATTTATTTAAATTATTACGAAAGCAAAAATTATTAACTATGTTATTAGGTAGGTACCTAATTTGGGGAAGCCCGAGTTTTGAGAAAGTCTAAAAAAATCCTGAAAGGTTTAAATAAATTTATAAATATCCTTGGACATTTTACACTGCGCCGCTAGACCCAAACTAAGCAAAGCTTGTACTATGGGTACTAGACAACGGATATAAACATACTTACCTACTTAAATACTTTTTTTTGTAAATACATACACATTATACATAGAAAACACCCAGACACGTCACAGAAATTAAAATTCATCATTTCAATTTCTGCCCGGCCGGGAATCGAACCCGGGACCTCTCGTCATAGTAGTCCGTTCTGAACCACTACACCAAACGGCCGACAAGGTGCTAGGTACTCACCAGCCAAGGTTCCTTTGAAGTTCTTATCGGAGACGTTGAAGCCAGGGTGAGCCATAAGGAAGCAGTCGATATCTTGAAAACAAGACCGCAGGTGTTGCCGAATCTCTTGCAGCTGCGCAGGCTGATCAGGCTTGATCTAGAGTCAGGTAGCAGGTGTTATAATCATCATCATCATCATCATTTTCAGCCATTGGACGTTCAAGTGAATTTTCACTAGTTAAGAAATTTTATAATACATGAGTTAAATTACTATTACCACAGCTATTACTCTCAAACTAATTGATATATCTTAACCGCTATACATAGTTTTTCTTAAAAGTTCATGAAAAGCAGTATCATTAGGATTTTTTTCAGATTTCTCCTACCCTAAAAAAAATTTTTAGAGTAGGTACCTAGCTCCCCTACATGTAAAGTGGGGATGAATTTTTTTTCAGCTTCTACCCCATCGTGTAGGGATATCGTTGGATAGGTCTTTTAGAATGACTTAGGTAGGGGTTTCTAAAACTATTTTTCCATTTAGGGATCTGTTTGCAAATTATTAAAGTTTAAAGTGCCAATTTTTGTTCGAGTAGGGCCTCTCCCCCTCTAAAAACTAAACTGTTGGCTTGAAAAATGTGAAAAATTCGTAATAATTCTGTTTTTCATGAACTTTCAAGGAAAACTATAACGGTTAAGATTAAGATACATCAGTCAGTTTAAGGCTGAGTTGCACCACTTACCTTTGACAGTAAATTTAACGATAACCGGTGCTTTTTGTTTGTATGGAGTTTGACAGATTTTTGACGTTTGTCAAAGTTCAAGTAAGATGGTGCAACCCACCCTAAGAGTAATAGTCATTTGACTATGTATTATAAATAATGGTTCAAGTAACTTACTTGTAAGACTTTATCCAGCAGACGTCTGCCGCCCTGGGCCCCAAATTCTTGGTCAGAGGTAAACATCCAGTCTCTGACAAGAAATTTTAATTGTTGGAACGGCGGGCCACCGTCGTCGTTGAGCACCAGCCGTGCGTACTCGGTGAATAACTACAAAAGCCAATAAATATACTCGTATTAAGTAGGTACCTACGCCATATTTTATTCGTATTCGTCCGTCAGTTTTTCTTTGTTAACTAAACTTAATATGCTATGCTACATAAAGTATTAAAGAGTATGATCGCTTTCTCATCTTTCTACATCCCAAAATAAATAGTATTCTAATTTTTTTCGGATATTGTGATCGTTTTAATAGGACAGCCAAGTATCTTAGGGGGCGTCCATTAATTACGTAAGACGTNTCTTTCTACATCCCAAAATAAATAGTATTCTAATTTTTTTCGGATATTGTGATCGTTTTAATAGGACAGCCAAGTATCTTAGGGGGCGTCCATTAATTACGTAAGACGTTTAGGGGGGGGGGGGGTCAAGAAAAACCTCACTAAATCTCACGTAGGGGAGAGGGGGCACGTAGGGCATGAAAAAACTGGGTTATTTTAAATTAAAAAAATAAATATATTTAAAGATGATAATGATAAATTATTCAATTTTTTATATTAAACCGTCTAAACAATAAAGAAATTAGAAGAAACGGTTTTTTATATTAAATCCTAATCGAAGCATAGGATAACCCATTTACATTGCAAATATTTTATGTATTTTAAGAATCTCACGTGAGATTGTGGGGAGGGGGAGGGGGTCTGGAAAAATCTCACCAAATCTCACCAAGAGGGGCGGGGGGGTTGAAAAATCGCCGAAATTATCTCACGTAATTAATGGACGCCCCCTTATTATGCAAGTAGGCGTAGCCGCGTAGGCGTATTTTTCTCGCTCTGCATTGTTCCTTGAGTCAATTAATTCGGATAGCCCTAGCGTTGCTCTACCTCTGGGCTTCAGCTGCTTCAGCTTGCCACTACTTTTAGGGGCATCCTGTATAAAAGCTTAACCACTCACTGATTAATCACGAAATCTAAGAAATCATAACACGTACTTAAAATTGGACAGGTAGGTTCCCTAAAAGGTGTACCTAGACATCCGCAAAGAACGTAACGTAAAACAAACAAAAAACGGGGTCCACGCGTACGAAGTCGCGGGCGGCCGTCAGTAATTAAAATAAGCTAAAAAATGTTAATCAAATGACAGTGATATTATGGTAAATGATGACAATAAGACAAGGAAAATGAAAATCAATAAAACTATAATGTCAGGTAAATACCTTTTCCTACTATTATAACATGGTTTAGGAGGCAATTTTTTTGAAAACGTATACAGGGTGTTAGGTAAATGGGTATATGAGCCGACACTAGCCCATGTTAACATGGTCATATAAATGGTATGGAGAAGTCAGAAATTTGATATCATCATTTAATTTTTTTTAATTTTCATACAAAATAAATTTTATAAAATCCGATTTCTATGACATTTTTAAAAATTATAATGAAGATATCAATTTTCTGACTTCACCATACCATTTATATGACCATGTTAACATGGGCTAGTGTCGGCTCATATACCCATTTACCTAACACCCTGTATAATGAATTTATTACAGAAAACTGTTTTTATACATTTCGTTGCTGGGTTTATTTACATATGAAGTTTTGGCCGAGTCTTTTCTTAAACTTTTGGTGATATACATTTTGGTTTCTCGCTATGACTGAGTGCAAAGAGAAAGGTTTGGTCACCTGCAGATGTTGGAGGTCGTCGCCACCGAGGTTGCTCTTGATGTTATAGATCTGCACCGAGGAGAGCAGCGTGGACAGCGCGAAGATGGTGGTGGACTCACGCATGGTGCTCTCGTTGTCGAAGGTGCCCTGCGTGTCCATGAGCACCACGGCCACCTACAGAGCATACCCCGAATTCTTTCAACGTTCCTTAAATCTGGTTAGTCAAGAATCAAGCACATTGCGGAGCCGCGAAAGAATGTCTAGGCCGTCTAGCTCGGACAATAACTCGCAGCTCCGTCCCAAAGACTTCGGGAGGACACCGTCAGGTTTTAGTGAGTAGGCCCTGCCCATCTGGCAGGGAGAGCCTCACATAACCCACTGGTTCCCCCGGGCCAGTGGGTATGCAATTTCATGCATTTCCTGACGAAAAAAAAAGAATCAAGCACATTAGGTAGGTACAATACGATGATAACAAATAATATTTCAGTAAGAATAATGAATTCGGATTCAATGCAGGATTAAATCTGCATTCCGTATTCAGTTGAACTTTCAATGGAAACATTCATTGGAAACTTTGCTGATTTCTGTCCTATTTTTTGTGTGATTATTTGTCTGTGTATCTAAATTGTTTATTTACCTAATATAAATAAATAAATTAATAAATACAACTGCCTCTGTGGTCTAGTGGTAGACCACCTGCTTCAGACGCAGAGGTCCCGGGTTCGATTCCCAGTGGGGGCAAATTTTTCTGTTCGGTTTGGTAGGTGGTAGGACTTGTTCTAAGTCCGCCCTAAGTCTGTTGCCATAATAACAATGTTAACAGCATTATTGTGTTCCGGCAGTAGAGGTAAGATAGCCAGTTCCTCCGTGGTTGAGGATGCCGGGTGAAGCTCGCTTCTACCTTCGGTTGATCATCACTTACCATCAGGTCAGATACAGACCAAGAGCATCCTCGTTGTGGATAAAAAAAAACTGCAGGAAAAAGCTCAGTTTCAAAAAATGTAATTCTTTTACGAAATAAGTATACCTACTGCAAACCGCAAAAATAACCCTTTTCGGGGCCCCCACCACTCTTAAACATAGGTAGGAAAGTCAGATTGGGCAACAAACGAAGCCAATAAATAAAACAATAAAACCTTGTACGAATAGTTCCGTTAGAGTAGGCGCACGCCGTTGATTTTTCGTCGGCCGATAGTTAAAGTCGGGCAGTTGATCAGTATGGGCATGTAGATATGGGAGTGCGCACACTACGCCGATTCGATTTGGCCGATTCTTCATACAATTTAAAATCGGGCACAACTAGCGGCCAACTAAAAATCAACGGTGTGCGCCTTACTCTTACTGGCCTGTAAGGTATTATGGAGGATGTTGGTAGGCTGAGTTATCAACCCGGAAAGGGATCAACACCGTATCGCCTTTACTTTATAGCGGGCGGATAAATGTGCGTTTGCAGTACGGAGTTTCATAAAAAGAATAGTTGACGCCTCGAGTTGATACGTTTACGAGTACGACCCCTTTCTGGGTTGAGAAATGTGCTACGTCCTTCGCCTTTTAATAAGAATTATGCTGATTTTTAAGCCCGACGACCTGATAAAGGTAGCAGGAAGGCGCTGGATGCAGGTCGCTACCAACCGTGCGATGCGGAAGTCATTGGGGAGAACTATGTTCAACAGTTTTTTTTTATGTGACAGGAGGCAAACGAGCAAACGGATCACCTGATGGTAAGTGATTACCGTCGCCCATCTGTCGGAAACACCGCAGACGACAGTCCATTCCACAGTTTAAACAGTGGATGTCCTGTGGCTGAAATGATGATGATGCAGATTTTTTATTTGGTGCACAAATCAGAGAGAGAGAGAGATTTTAACAAACGTAACCTTTTCTCCAGTAGATAGAGTCATTTCGAAAGGGCGGGACCAGATGTGGATGCCGATGGTGTTCCGCTCGGAGCCCGTGCGCCAGCCGAAGCCCTCCAGCGGCTCTTGCTCGCCGCCAAGCCACGCGTCCGACCGCCGCTCCGCGTCCTGCCAAAAAGTCCATCAACTACACTGGTCATCAAAAAAATCGACCCTCCCGTGACAAGCACTTTCAAACGTATGCATCCCCACTTCCCACCAATATTGGCACCATTTAAAAGCCTAGTTCTAAACTTCATTTCATTAAAGGAAAGGTTTTTACACCAAAAATGTGTCTGTAGAAGAATCCAGAGTCACTTCTTCAAAAAATAGATAGTTACGCTTGAGCCAACATTTATGGCTATAAAACTGTTAAGTTGGGATTAATCGCTATCCATCTGTTAAAGACTACACGTGAGATCATTATTTGGTTTTATAACCATAAAAATTGGTCTAATTGATCCTAGAGGTGAGCCCAAAGTGTGGTCTTTTTTCAAGTCACATTTATTGTAGGTATATCGCGTTTATGTTAATCGTTTATTAAGAAATTAAATGTGTTTTTCTTTAAGGATATTTATTGGGCTTTCAAATAACACCAATATTGTTGGGGCACCATGATTGTGTCAGTAGATACGAGTTTTCCTGTAAAACGTAGGTAGGCCGATTTTTGTGATGACCAGTATATTAGCGCATTGGTTCCCAAACTTATTTAGGACGCGCCATCTTTCGACCATACCACAAAATCCGCGCCCCCTCTCCTCCAGTCAAGAATATTTATTGGTCGTATCGAGCAGTCTGGAATGCATTCTCTCAGCGGTCGCAGGTTTTTAATACTTAGTACACAGATGGCCCGCGCCCCCCTTTAAAGGTCTTTGCGCATCCCCTGGGGGCCGCGCCCCCCACTTTGGGAATCAATGCGAGCGTATTTTTTTCCTTGACANATCGCAGTCAGGGCCGGATCGTGAATTTGTGGGGCCCTGGGCTGAAAGTACTTGGGGGCCTATCTTGGTACTCAACTAATAGCCATGCCAAAAAACTGTTTCTATAATGATATATTATTCTTATACATATATTTTTTATTGCACAAAAAACATAAATATCTTAAATCTACGCAAGTATTAGTTGTACAAAAGGCGACCTTATTGCTGTGTAGCAATCTCTTCCACAAGTTCTCATACTGAACTTGTAGAATACCTCATTCTACAAGTTCAGTATATTTTTTTAATTAATTTACAAGTTTCTTATATAAAAGTATTTGGGTTGCTTATTACAACTTCTCTTTGAACCACTCATGCCGCAAAAACTTATGAAAATAATATTAATATACTGAAAAACCTATGGTATTAACAATTAAATACCTACGTATAAATGATGAAATTTTTCTTTTTGTTTTTGCAAAAAAAATCGAGCTGCACAAAAATTCTAGAGGGTAGATTTGTAAAAAGCATAATAAAAAGCAAATAGATTTGTATAAGTGAACAATATCAGCCATAAAATTCACAGCAACAGACAAAAAGTTCAATTTTGTAAACTAGTGTAATTAGCTTATCCAACGCAACATTTAACGTGTCCCTTTTAAATCTTTCTGCGCCGTTTACTAAGAATTCACCTGTAGACCTATCTGAAAATTTTGGAGTAATGCGCCTCTTGTTTACGTCATTGTACCTAGTCTATTCCCACACAAGCACTTAATTTTTAGCTTTCTCTTCGTATTCCTATAGCTTCTGATCTGATTGGTGTCGTAAGTTGCTCTGTATTTTTTATTGACTAAATGAAATCTCTCCAAAACTTCTTCCCAAAAGATAATCAAAATTGCAGTCTCGAGTTTCGCCTAGAGGTGGGCGCCACGCCGGCGCGCCGCCGCCGCCGCGAATTTTTTCACGCCGCCGCCGCCGACGAGCAGCAGTCGGCGCGCCGATACTGATACTGTACAAACTATTTGCAATTTATTCCTCTCCTATTCTACTTTCTGGATTTGTATTTCGAACGCAGAAGAACGCACAATGTGAACATAATGCCGAGAATATACTTATAAATTGATTGAATAACTTAATACTAACTGTATTACGGCAACGCACCTGTAACGCCCCTGGGACTGCGGGTGTTTATGGGCGACGCGGCGACGGTAATCACTTACCATCAGGTGATCCGTCTGCTCGTTTGCCTCCCGTTTGTTTCAAGTTGCTGCTTGGTCTAGTAAATAATTGATTGCGAGAGGCGCCGGTCCCTCTTGCTGTCAAGAAAAAAAGTCGCCGCCTTCATCTGGCAGACAACCCACAACGTTGGACTATACTTTAAGTGAATCACGCACACAGAGATTGGCAAATATGTCTCAGAATGCGAATGGGAACCACAACCTCTGGAAGGCAACAAAGTACCTCCCTCATAGTGTTCTCCGCCTATTAGGTCCGGTAATACATGAGTGCGAACTGACAAGAAAAATCTCTTTGCTTTGACCTTTGCTACAAGACAAGCCGGTTTGTTTAAACCCATTGACACGGATAATCCAAAAAATTCACAATTCAATCCAAAAAATAAGATGAATGGACTTGATCCGAAACTTGCAGCTAATATGCCTGTCTTTGATTCCTACTGATGATGATGATTCATCCGACCGATTTCGGCCATGGCGACCACTTCGACTTAGCTGTCTTGGCGACGGTGGTGCACCCGAAGATGGCTTACATAGCCGATCTTCGCGGCAAACTCCTCGCACATTGAGAGTATGAGCACCCCGCCAACATAATTATAGTGAATGGCGGCAGATGGACGGTCAAAACCAAAGTCAAAGTCAAAATTTCTTTATTTGTTTAGACTAATAAATAGTTCTTACAAATCGTCATTTTGCTCTTAAGGAGCCTCTACATGTCTCATAATCTTTTTACCCTACCAGCGCTTCGAGACCAACATTTGGCAAGTGCTGAGAAGAAGCGCCGCAACAAACTCAGTCACCACTATCTGCCGGTTAATATAAATAAATATAAATAAAAATAAAAATATTCGAATATTCGACGGGATTTACATCATCGCGTTTCGCGTCGAGTTCAGTAGTGCGCTGCTCCTTGAACTCGCGGACTTGCCTCTTCACAAACTCCCGCCATTCTAGGCGCTGTGCTGCCAAACCTTCCTATTGTGATTTGAGAGGGCCCATTTGCATCTTTTCATATGCTGCTTCTGGTCATCTTTGTACCTGAAATTCGCTTACCCTCCTCAAATTAAAAATAGAAGATAAATTCTTATTACGCTAAGATGTACGCAAGACGCAGGAGAACTAAATGACTGACATAGCCCGCAGAATCTTTAAAATCAAGTGGCAGTAGGCGCGGAACATAGCTCGTAGAGTTGATAGCCACTGGGGCAGGAAAGTTCTTGAGTGGCGACTACGAGCTAGAAGACGTAGCGTGGGAAGGCCTCCCACTACTAGGTGGACCGATCTTTATGGAAATCCTTGGGGAAGGCCTTTTTCCATCAGTGGACGGACGCTAAGAGAGATGGCTAAGCTGAAGAAATAGCCAAAATAGACCCTCGTAAAGTATTTGATCTGATTAATATGAACTCCATGGTCTTGAAATGATCCATAAGGCTGGCAAGTCGCCTAACGAATTCTCCTCCTATCGCTCAATTAATCTGATATTTGTATTGTTAAAATTGTGGAAAAGGATCATTCTTGCTCATTTATTCCCTTGCCTAAGTATGACCCCATGTAATATAGTATAACCGACCATAAATTTTGTCAGAAACCATACCTACCATAATCAGTACAATGTTTGGAAAAGAAAGAATCCTGTACGGCTGCTTTCGCCGCGGCTTCAGCTGGGTTTAGCATAAAGGACTACTCTATGAAATTTAAAAAGTACCTTCCAGCACACTTCTACTACCTGCTGATGGAGTCTTATCTCAGTGACAGACAGTTTTAAATCAAACTCCTTGACAACATCGTCTCTTTTTAGCTGCAGAGCTGGAGTACCCCAGGAGTCTATACTTGGTCCGGTACTCTATAACATTTACTGGTAAAGTAGCCCAGACACCAGAAAGCTGCGCCCTTCCTCAAATGTAACTGTGATCCTAAAGCGACTAGACTGTTGCAAAGTCAGCTAAATGCCACTAATGCTTGGCTGACCAAGTGGCGCATGCATGTAAGCAAGCCCCTAAGTCTCACCATATTATCATTTAAGACGGGAAACTTATCCTCTGGCCAATCTAGTCCTCGACACATAACTGCAATCAACCTGCATTAAAAACCTGGACCATAAGATGACATGGAAAGACCATAAATATAAATAAAACAGATTTGAACATAATATTCGACCGACAGTCAGCTAAAAGTATTATCGGCACATTGGTACGCTCGCCTTCAGGAAATACACGAAACGAACCTGAGTCCTGATCTTAGCCAAGCCCGCTATTCAAATATCAAAGTATTTATGATCAAGAGAGCTAATTTACTAGGGTAAACCACTGCTCCAGTGGGTCTACCGTGTTAAACCCCAACCAACTGCAAATTACCTGATTAGTCTTGACGACAGACACTAAAAAAGCAGATTTAAAAAAATACCTAATTAATAAAGGTCAAACAAGGTCACGCCGCCGACGCCGCCGCCGCCGAAGTCAAAAAGTCGGCGCGCCGCCGCCGGCCGATTGTATATCGGCGCCCACCTCTAGACTTTCGCCATTTTCATGTATAGTCCAGTAGAATTAGATTTTAAATCGGAAATAACTCCTACAAAAGATTTTATTGGTTTAATGGCTTCATTGGTTGCCCATTTAGACTCTCCTAGGTTTTCGACTTCGACGGAGTTGTGCTTAAGTGGTGGGGGCCCCCTAAAGGGGCGCTTTTTCGGTTTTCCGGTTATACCGCGTAAAGGACTTACCCTATAGAAAAGTGGTCTTCCTGACGGTTGAAGAGCATTTAATCCTGCATTAAATAAGACCGAATTCATATGTTTTGGACAAACCGTTCTCGTGCAAATGTTCGGCAAAGTAGAAAATATGTGTATAACTATTGACGCTCTCCACGTTCAATAACTCCTCACCCGTAAGCTCCCAAGCCTTGTAAAGGGTCGTCTTAACCAGCGTATCCCTGTCAAGGCTCACGAGTTGAATTCGCTTATCCTTGTTTGTCCCAGCCGTTCCTTAACTGCGGT